ATTATATAATTATTATTATTATTATTATTATTATGATTATTATGATTATTATGATTATTATGATTATTATGATTATTATTATTATTATGATTATTATTATTATGATTATTATTATTATTATTATTATTATTATTATTATTATTATGATTATTATGATTATTATGATTATTATGATTATTATGATTATTATTATTATTATTATTATTATTATGATTATTATTATTATTATTATTATTATGATTATTATTATTATGATTATTATTATTATTATTATTATTATTATTATTATTATTATTATGATTATGATTATTATTATGATTATTATTATTATTATTATTATTATTATTATTATTATTATTATTATGATTATGATTATTATTAAAGTTAAATATATCAGAATTCTTGTAAATATGTAAACCTTCAATTATAGTCTTTTTAAAAAAAAAATTTTAAATAATGGTTCTTGCTAATTTTTCCGTCTCTAAAATTGATTTCTCCATTTAATTTCTAATAACGGAAATTTATGTATATTATGTGTCATACCACATCACTTAAAACTGAAAAACACTTTTGCAAAGGTTTTAATTTTAAATCTCCATAAATTTATTGATTTTCTTGATGTTAATCTTGTTCCTCCTCTTCTTCGTACATTCTTCTCACAACCATTTTATCAAACAGTTGTTGTACATTCGTTTTTTCAAACAATATTTTCTATAACCAACTTTAACAGCTTTATTTCTTCATCATAACAAATCAATAGAACTGAGTTATCTTCAAGAGCAACTTTTCAAAATATAATACTCAGAATGTCAATAGCGTTTGCAGCCAAGTGAAGTGAGTGGTGAGCCATTAGTATTTGCAGCCTGAGAAAAAACATGAATAGCTTCACAGGTTCAAGAAATGTTTCAGGAAATTTCGGGCACAATTACTTAACAAGTTAATTACGTGCATGCTTTCAGACCATAAAAATTCTATAATTGAATATTCTCTATAGTTATTTAAACGTGAATATAATTAATCAATTAGCTTAAATATTTAACATAGGTTGCATCAATAATGAGATTGCACAACAACAATGGCCATCTCATCTCTATGGGTGGGGAATAAGTACACCATGGATCCTGATCCTCTAAAGTTGGAGCTATTATATTTATCTTGAATTTAAATTTCATTATATTTGAATTTAAATTTCATTATATTCCATTCTCTAGAAGTAGTCTCTAAACTTAGTTAATTTAACAATTTTGACACCAAGTTTCTACCTTTGTATGATTTTTTTGTGATTAAGTTAACATAATGGTACAAAAGAGAAATAAAAGAGGGACGCTCACAGTGGTGGTGACAGAGTAGGCACACCAACAGTCACAATGTTGGATCATCTAGATTCCATTGATGCTTTTGAATAAATCTATAATGAAAAAAAAATGTGGATTACAATGCAACAAGCAAAAAAATGATTTTGGAGTGATAACATTTTTTTTATCATTCATCATTCAATGGATGTGGCTGCGATTGTGAGCTGCCACCCGGTTCCTCCACTTATATCGTCATTGACATCTTACAACGAAACACCACTTTTTGGACGCATTTTGATAAAAGTCTCTTTCGGTTCCTTTCTCGAACCAAAGACTCTCGTACCATGTTGGGAGGAGATACTAGAAACATTGATACATAGTGAACTCACACTTGAAGGAGAGTGTTGGAATAATATAGCAAGTGTGAGTAAGTGAAAAAATAGTCTCATATTGGATAGTAATGTGGAGACTTAAGCATATATAAGTGAGAGAACCCACTCACCTATCACCTTAAGGTTTTAGGTGGATAAGTGGTGTGTCTCTGGTGCTTATTCCTACACTATATATCAATGCTCCTAGTATCTCCCCTCAAGAATATATTAGAGTGAAAATGTCAATCATAACCATTCGACTCAAAACCAATTTTGCCTTGTATTTAGCACAACAAAATCCTCATCACATCTAATCCAAAAGTAAGTTATTGATTTTGTAGATAAAATCCTCATCACATTTTGTAACTTATCTGCACCCGAAGGTAGTTAAAAAAACTTTAACTAATCTTTCTAACTAAAAAGTATTGTAGTTTTACGCAAACCTCAGAAGTTATGAATAGTTGATTCAATGTATCAGCATAAATTTGGCTTGTACATAGTTCAGATAACTTGGATGCCATGGTGGCATCAAATGTAAGAATTTGAACCTTAGCATCTAAACTTTCACCAATTAATTTTCCATTCGAGTTATCTTCAACACTTTATTCACCTCTGTTCTCAGCTGGCAAAAGGTATACATTGAATAAATAATTAATATCATGAACAAGTGTTTGAGCCGATAAGGATCCAATGCATCAGTTCAGCCGCCGACATTGAAAATTACCTCATTGCCTTTCAAATGTCTTAATGTATAACCACTTCGACGGGAAATGATCATCTACACGCAAGTGCATCTCTGAGGTTAATTGTCTACACCCAAGCTCATCACTCCATTCGACCACATCCGCACAGCTATGTTCGCAGAAAACTTGCAATTCTCCACACATACATGAAATTTCCAACCAGTTTGTTGAATAGCAACTGAAGCAACACATCAATGAAAAAATAGTGGGTTCTACTTCTAACCAATTCGTTGGAATAAACAAAATATGAAACACGGATTTAACTTATATGTTGCAGTAAAAAAATAGTGAGTTCTATTTATATATCTTAGAAATTCTTAATAACAGTACATATCCAATGATGTGTTCATCTATAAAAATCAAATATAGTTTAAAATAAAAACTTACAAAGTCACTCCAAACAAACTATTACTTATTGTTTGAGTTATCAATCAAAAGAACATGGCATTCCAAATTTGAAATCTGCACCTATAAACAACATCAGAAGAAAAAAAGTTGAAACTGAATCTATTTCAGAATAGTAATCATCGTCCGTCGCAAACCAACACCGATATAGTGCAGAACCTACTATTTCAAACCACCAATTTCTTCCTCGGACAACCTCTCCGCAATAACCTACAAATAACGCAAGATTCAAAACCTATAAAGATTACATTTTTTCTAATAAATATAACAAAACAAAGAAAATCCATCATTCAAAATCCAAAAAATATTGAATTTTTCCAACAAAGATACCTAAAGAAAGAAAATCCTAAAATTAAAATCTCAATAACTATTAAACCTACCATTGAATCAACATGTGTGGATTATTCAGACTCCAAACGGTGGATACCAGTTCACAAATGCGATGAGAACAACCCGACATCGGTAAAAAGACTTCGATCTCTTTATTTAACTTCGACTAGGGCTTCGTTAGCAATACTGTTGATACCAAATCTAGATTTGTTTTTGAAATCATAAAGAGATATCGCAGAAGACAAAAAAAAAAGAGAAAGAACGAAAAAGATTAGAAGAAAAAGAAAAGGAATAAGATGTAGAAGACAGAAGAAAAAGAAGAAGAAGGAAGAAAGAAGGATGCACAAGAGAGAGAAATAGAAAATAAAGACGAATCAAAAAATTAGTAGCAGATAAAAGCTAACAATTGAAACGTTTTGAATAACACGGACGTGACACAATATGGACGCAGCAAAAACAGTTCGATCTTTTTTAGAACCATCAAAGTTTTTATATGGTAGATATTATTTAACATTTATTTTTTTGTAAAACTTGATTTTATCATTTCTCTATAAATTATATATATATAAAATAACGATTCAATAGTAAAGGAATGAGTGACACTGACAGCGCCATATCCACGTTGTGAATTGCATTTTACAGGATTCAGGCCGGTGTCAAGGTTGCTATGAGTGTGGGTTTGTTTATTTTGGCAGTACTTGGTGTGATTCCTTCCCATAATCATAACGTTGGATATTTAAAAACGCACTAACTTAATGCCTAACTTATTTATTCCCCAATCTTTCATCAATCAATAATTAACGACAAGAATAAATGGAACGGGTTTTAGTTTCAATCAAAAGAATAACCTGTTTATAAAAAAATAAATAAATAAACATAAATGAATTATGAGTAATGCTAACATCTATCCTTAGAATATATATTAAGAATCTATAATTAAAAAGTTTGTCTTAAAAATATAATGAAAAACATTAATTATATGTTTATAATAAATTCTGTACACAATTTTTTAAATAATTTTTTTTATTTAGTTGTTAAAATGTGCTTTTATGACACATGTTAGTATTATCTTTACTTTATTTAGATCTTTTTCTATAATATTATAACATAAATTTATTTTTAATTTTAAATATGTTTTATTTTCTATTATGGCATTTTTTGTTTGTGTGCTTTGAAATGTTTGATTTTCAGATGGTAGAGTGGTCTTTCTCAAGTAAGAGTTTAATGTTATCTTTATCTTCGATGTATGTTATAGTGTGGAAAAGACTTGTCAAGTTATAAAGAAGGTTTTTAGAGGGTCAAAGGTGTTTTGAAAATTCTTTGGATTACGTGGAAAGATGTATATAAATTAAAGAATAGGGGAATTATGATTGGGAAGTCTTGGAAAATCGGGAGCACCAATGCTCCATGACCACGAGAGAGAGAGAGATGCTATATCTCAACCCAAAATTTTAAGGTGTTAAGTAAATGAGTCATCTCTCTTATAAATTTAACATTCCACTCATTCATAGGTAATGTGGGACTATAAACACTCACACTTGCACTCAATATTCTCCACCACAAGTGTGAATCCCCACATCCTATAACAAGATCCAACTCTTGCTCCTCCACCAAGCCGAACCATGACTTTGATACCACTTGTTAGGAAAAAAACAAATCATAGAGAAAAATGAGGAATAAAATAACAACACAAGAAATTAGCATAGAAACTCCAAAATCGGAGCAAAAAACCACGACCATTATCAAATGACAATCAGAGAATATCACTATGTGAAAATTATTACAACACATAAACTACCCTCAAAATACCCCAAGACCCTAATACACGCACACTCTCCAAAGCAAATATTTAAATGCCTCTCACTACACTCTAAAACAAGAGTATAATAGAAAATAAAAGAATCAAATACAAGCTTAAAGTGTTTTTGATTGGTAAATCTTGTAAAGAAAAACTTAAATCCTATATATAGCCTTGGACCCCCTTCCTTTACAAAAATAAGCAATGTGAAACTTTTTTAACATATACATTTTCAACTAACCCCAACAATCTCTACCTTGATTGAAAATAATACATAATCTTTCATTGTCTTCGCCGACAATCATACTCCACCATAACGAGTATAGACACTTAAAGCTACACCACTCCAAGAATTTTCACATTGTCTTCACTGACAATCATAGTTTCAAAAACTATCATACTCCACCTAAAGAAGAGTATACTTCACTTGAAGCTAAACCACTTCAAGAATTTTCACATGCCGAAAACCAGGTTGAAATTTTATGGTGAAACTTTTATGTTGGTAGGAAGCTCTTCAACCACCAACATAATCTCAAAACACACTTTGCATCAATACCCATGTGTTAATCCGCTGACAATAACACGTCCTTTTCCAAGACACCGAAAACATCATGAGGACACACTTCTCAATTTTCAGATAAGATCATCCTCTCTCACGGCGAGAGAGACATTACTATCATTTGGATTAGAGCCCTTCTCTAACGCTGCTTCATCAGGACACTTATACTTTATATGTCCAAGCTTTCCATATTTCTAACATCTCACACCCGTTTTATTGTTTTTCTACACATAAGGCCTTCCTCTAGCAACCAATACTGAGTTTGATGAAGTATTATCCTCACCTTTCAATCTTCTTTCTTCATAAATAATTTTACTAGCAACTTGTTCAAAAGTTAAAGTTTCCTTCCCATATATCAAAACTGGTTTAATATGCTCATAGGAAGATGGAAGAGACCATATGAGTCTCAAAGCTTTATCTTTATCATCAATCTTAACTTCAACAGTTTCTAATTCAGAAACAATACCATTTAAAACACTTAGATGATCAGATACTTTTGTATGTTCATCCATACGCAAGCTATGAAATTGCTCCTTCAACAATAAACGATTTGATATACCCTTTCCTTGATATAACCCTTCAATTTTCTCCCAAATATCTTTGGGTGAGGATGTGCCAATAACATTCGCCAGAATATTCTTAGCCAAAGACATACAAATTATACTTTAAGCTCTCAAATTTAGTTCCTCCCACTTCTCATTATCTATTTTGGAAATGTTTCTTTTCAACGCCTTGTGTAATCCTAATTGTATCAAAATATTCTGGACTTAAATTTTTCACAAGTCATAGGAGTAAGAGACATTTTTTTGGTTAAACTTGGCCATTTGGCAAGTGGAAATGGAGACTTATAGTTGGTGACCATGCCTTTAGAGGGATGCCCTTATAGTTAGATATTGTCTTGATGTTGTTTCCTCACTTCATGGGGGGGGGGGGGGGGATGGGGGTTTCCTTTCTACTTCTTTATGGTGGAAAGGGGTGTCTCTTCTCTGATCTAAAGAGAATGAGATTTCATATTAGTTTTTTGATGGTGTTATTGGAAAAGTTGGATCGGGTCTCCAAAATTCCTTTTAGAAGGACCTTTGGTTAGGAATCAACTCTTTAAAGAATAAGTTTTCTGACTTGTTCTCTAATGATGTCCAACCTAATGGGGATCGTGGGAGAGATTGGTATAATGGATAATGGGGTTTGAATTGGTACTTCAACTGAAGAAGACCTTTCTTTCTTAGAGAGGCCCTCATTTTTTAGGAGCTCTGGTCCATGCTTCAGGACATCACTCTTTCTTTTGATATAGATACGTAGATTTTGAAGTTTGCTAAATATGACATATTTTCAATGGCCTCCACTTATCTAGTTCAGAGTGTCTGTGTGATCTCCTCTTCGACATCTCTCCCATAAGAGAGTCGTTTTCTCCCTTTTATCGTAATAATTATACAGTTATTGTGAGCGTAATGATAAATTATCACGATTAGGGTGCTATTCATAGCGGTCGTGATGGTACATGGTTTTAACGCATTTTGGCAACTTTAAAAGGAAAATTTAGTTAATTTTGCAAGGGATCTGATTTTGATGCAAGAAAGTGACGAAAAGGAATTTCCAATATAAATTTGGAGTGCTTTGGAGCCATTGAAGACATATTTCTTCATTTATTTTCATGTACTCTTCATATAAACTCATGGTATTTCATTGTTTAACTGTAAGTAGCTTGATTTCTCTTGATTAAGTTTTAGAAGATGAACTTGATTTTACTTTGTTAGATCATATGAATGTTTTTATTTTATAACTTTTATTCAATTTCTTTTATTCTTAATGCTCTTTGTGTGTTAACGAGCACAGAGAGGGAAATTAGACGAGTAGGAATTATTGAGCGTAAGTCTACCGATTGGAAATAAAGCAATTTCTCAACATAGTAATTACATAGCGATATGTAATTATAAGTTGTGGGCAGAGAGTTAACATGTGTAGATTGCCTAGTTTTACTTCGAATTCGTCTAAGGAATTAGAAAATTGTAGTCTAAATTAGTGAGTCGTGCACCAAGAAATTGGGTACGAGGATATTGTTAATTCGCCGTAAAATTATAAGTCAATTCGATTTAAATAATGTACAATCATCAATAGAAGAAAATTAAGAGATTTGAATAAGATCTAATCGCTTTCTCATTATAGTACATTTCAATAATTTTATTCGCGTAATTACTTTTTGCAAAAAAAATCTGAAAACCCCTATGTATTTACTTTAACAAACACAATTACAACTTTGATAGAATTAGAAATCTCTATGGAAACGATCTTTATTTTATTACTTTGACTTTATTAATACACTTGCTAAGAAAGTCATCAAATTGTTGGCGTCGTTGTTGGGAATTATTGTTATTTCAACAAAGCAATTTTTGTGCTTAGTTTGTTATTTTAAAAATTTTAAGTTTAGTTTTGAATTTTCTTTGTTGCTATTTATTTGTTGTTTTATCTTTATTTTTCTTTTAGTTTGTTTTTTCCTATTATTTAGTTGGTTATGGTTATGGTGAATTAGTGCAATGTTATTGGTGTATTTTCTTGTTGTTTATGTGAAGTTAAGGATATAGAGGACAATACGAGCAACCTGAAAATCATCCCAATTAGTACGGTTAAAAAAGAAATTACAAGCAGAAAGAGACATGGCCAACGCAATAAGTCACACCATGAGAGACTATTACAGAAGAATTGATGTTGGGCGGATATCTCTCGGGTTCCAACCGGCTAATTATGTTTCTTTTGACATTAAAAATG